TGGTTGGGGCAGTCAGGGGACAGGGAGCAGGGAGACTTAGATAGGGGGTGGGATCCTGGGGGCAGTTAGGGTGGGGGGGGTCTCAGGAGAGGGCAGTCAGGGGACAGGTGGGGGGTAGGGAGATTCTGAGGGGGGCGGGAAGTGGGAGGGGGTGGGGCTAGGGCGGCACCCCATGTCCTGTTTTTTGATTGTTGAAATATGGTAACCCTATCATTGAGCCATAGAATCAAATGATGTCATAGATGTCCTTCACTGACGTCTTCGGGGCTTGCTACGGGAGCAGGAATCTGCTTACCTGGGGAAGGGTCTCCTGGATATATTGTGCTTATTTAAACTCTGGCTTTATAATGTTCATCAGTGCATAGTGGAGTGTCGTTTAGCAATAGGGAGTTTTGCTTTGCATATTATGCATGCCATACCCTCTCCCTTTAACAGAACTTCAGAGAAGTGGGGCTGGATCAGAAATAAGAGAAATGTAACTGTTCGTATCAATGCCACTGATTCAAATGCAACACTGGATAACATCTGACTACTTGCTGGTAGCCTCAGCTTGGTTTCTAATTGACACCTATCCATATTACAGTCTCGTTACCCTTGATGGCAAATGAGCAAATGGACATGAAGACTAAATTTTTCTTGTACCAAAAGATGGTCCCTGCAAATCAGGAGTTAGACATATTGGTAGGGCAGAGTATGGGAGGAAGCCTGGGCTGTACCTAGGGTGACCAGATGTCCCGATTTTATAGGGACAGTCCCAATATTTGGGGCTTTTTCTTATATAGGCTCCTATTACCCCACACCCCTGTCCCAATTTTTCACACTTGCTGTCTGGTCGCCCTAGCTGTACCAGATCTTAGGATGAAGGGAAGATTTTGCAAGTATAAAAACCAGGCATGATCACTAATTTCACATTAAAAAAGAAAAGAAGGAAATAGAAAATGACTTAAGTTATCTGATCCTAAATTCTTAAGCCTCTGTCACAGAATAAACCCACAGAGTCGGCTGTTTGGAATCCCGATTACAAATCTTTTAAATTATAAATGAATTCCTGGCGTCATTGAAATCGGTAGGAGTTTGGCCTGCAGTGCAGCCAGGATTTCACCCATATACCTTTGAGGAACTGCACACGTAGTACAAATGTTTAATTCTACTATCATAATCAGTATTGTCATCTGACTGCATAGGTTTTAAAATATAGTGATTGCCTTAAGAAAACGATGGACTAAAATAAGTTATTTAGTTTCTGGAATTTCAAATGGAATTGCTGAAATATAATTATAAAAATTATTGATACTGTGGGGATTCTGCTTTCCTAACATTTTTTAACTGCAAGAACAGCATAGGCTTGGGTTTAATATTTAAACAAATGGCTGCAGTTTAATACTTGTTTTTTTTTAATGTGAAACAGCCAGCATCAGGATTTTATCTTTGCTAACTGTATCCCTGTAAAGGGGAATGGGTGAGGAGCAGGAGCCTACAAAGACAACTGCTGAACATGAGGAACTAATGCTAGACTGCAGTTGATAAGCATTGCTCTCATGCTGAATGGTGTCAGTGCAATTATTGCACACAACTATGAACGATGTCTGGGGACTTGAAAATAATTAGTCATTTTACTAATAATGGATTTTAGCCTAGCCCAAGAACCTAATCTTTTTATGAAGATGTAGATTAGGTAAGGAGTAGGTATGATTAATTTAGGCAATCTTGAAGCCAGGGTGTTTAATGTGCCATCTTTGTGACCCCTACTTGACAAATGCCTGATGCTTCATTAGTGACGGATGTGCTGCCTTGGGAGCAGAGCTGGCAACAAGTTTACACCCAAAGGGAATTGGCCATGGGGCCTCTGTGAGGCCGGGGAAAAAATAATCCAGATTCCATTAATTGTTAGACTTGCTGCTAATAAAGTATGTGTCAAATATGATTTGTGCATTTTGACCAGAAGTAATGATGACTTAATCATCTCACCTACATAAAATCAGCCATCTTAATTTTTGAATGAACTATCCATGTTGAGGAGTCATATTTGGGAAGTGATTGGACTTTACTCAAACTCTGCCCACAGTTCCAAACTCCGTCCTCAATCGCAGAATACCTGGATGTTTCTGCTGTATTGATCAGCAATAACAATAGTTATTAATCACATTTAACTCACCCTAATCAGCCTGAAATACAGTTTAGAGCTGGCTGGCTGCAGCCTCAGACCAACATCACTGCATTAGGTCACATTTGGAAAAGCCCAGTGTAACCTGTAAAGGTTAAAAGCTTTTTGGCTTTTTCAAAATGCAGTCTTACACTGTGCAGAAATGTATGGGCCACCAGAGAAATGAAGATACCCCATGCCACTGTGTACCAGCTCACTCCATCTCTCTTGTGCTATGCTGTTTTGTCATGTCTTTTTAAGAATTTGTTCCCCTTTTGTATGAAAGTTATTCTTTTGTTAATATGCAGAAAGCGCTAGTGGCAAGTCTCTTCTAAAACACCAGCTCTCCTGATCTAGTGATTTTTGCTTTCCACTCCCCTTTCTCTTTTAGTCTGTTGATGTTGATTGGCCTCCAACCCTGAATGATTAGAGTCTTTCAAGCTCGGAAGAGGAAGAGTGACTTGACTCTCTTATCAGGAGCTGACAACAAATTGAACTGTGCACTGTATGATAACTTGTTTATCCCTTATATTTCTGTTGAACATTTGGATCACGTTGATCTGTTAGGTTTTTTTAATTGGCTTAAAAACTCAGGATCAGTTGATGCTTGTTCAATTAATTTGCAGCCTTATTGTAAATAAATTACTGTCCCATGTAAAGGGGTCTCTGACAGGCAGATGTATTAATAGCAGTAAATGATTTCTTTTAAAAAAAAATTGAGAGATGTCCAAACCCTGATCTTTGCGAGATATACCAAATATGCTTTCCTGAATACTGTTTGAAACCCTTTGATTGAAAAGAGAAGTTCCCCTCCCTCAAACCGCACAAACCATATATCATCTAATTTTGTTCCCAACCATAAAAAAAAAATGTAGACACGTTTGTATAGATACCATAAGCATAATCTTCTTATCTAGACGTTTGTACCACTTCCCAGATCAGCAGTCTCAAAGCCTGATCCTTAATACGCCAAAGACTATTCATGTAAATGAGAATTGTCAGGATCAGACCATAAGAAATCAATTGTATATTGTTAATATGGAATTCTGAAATCAATGAGACGACTCCTGGAGTGAGGTACTGCTCAACATGAGTAGGGGCAGCAGAATCTGGCCTACAATATTTTCCCCATATATGTACTAGTGCTGGTTAGATTTTGACTATTGCAGGGGGTGGCTGAAAACTTTATACTCAAAAATTCAGTTCAGAAATTCAGGGGGTACCTCATACTCCTATTATCTTCTGTAGGCCAGGGTCCCTGACCAGCCTACGTGTTTCTTGCTGAGCCCCCGTGTGCAGCATGAGAGATGTAGTCTGGCTTGGGAAGCCACAACATGAAGGAGAGTGGGGACATGAGGTGCCTGAACTACAACTCTTTGATGTACCATAGTGGAATTAGTGAACAGAAGTATTTGGGGGTTTGGCTGACACTCAAACATGTTGGGGGTTTTGTTGAAAATTCCAACAGAAAGTAGCCAATTTTTTGGAAAAATTTCATATAGTTGAAAACTCAATTTTCCATCAGAAAAACAGTTTTAATGTATTTTTTTTTAATCATCCCTAGGCTATACTTACTATGTTCATTGATTTTATTTTATTGTGCTGCTACTTTGGCGTAATACTGGCAGGTCCAAGTTCCTCTGTGAAAGAGCCGTAAAAGTGGCAATATGTTCGTGTTACGTTTTGTGCGGCAGGATAAAGAGTTGCAGTTTACACCACATCCCACTTCCTGTACAAAAAGTGCAAGATGGATAAAAAGTTCTAAGTCATGATAGAATTTTAGCATGAAGTAGACAAAGGGTGTAATCTACAGAAAGACAGCTAATTCACTACCCATATGGGTCTACCAGCAGTAGGAATGGTGAGGCTGTAGTGTATATGGTTTTGTCATTTTTAGGTCAGCAAAAACATTTGAGTCTGGTCTGCACTACCAGTGGTGAATCACAAGGCCCAGATTTGCCACTGTAGCTGAAGTTAAAGTATATAGAAAGCATATGAAAACTTGTGTATAAATTAATGAACCCCCCACTTTAATATGTGAGTGTGAAATGGCCTCACAGGTTGTAACCCAAATCAGAAATTAAGAGGACTTCCTTAAAACACATCTTGCTATATTTGATAAAATCAAGACTGAGTGAGTGTATCATAGAGCTGTTTCTGCACCTATGAAGCACAAAAAAAAGAGATGAATAATACAGGAAGAAATTGAGAGGATTTGGAATTATTAAAGAGGCTTTTTCTTAAAGTGTTTCAGGAATATGTCAGGTATTCTGCAAGACATACTGCTATTTATGTGGTGGTTGGGGGAGGAACTGTTGGGTGGACTGTACCCACTGCTAGTATCAGGAAAGTTACCCTTACAGATTTCAGCTAGGCACACCTGTGTTACAATGTCAGCTTCCAGTGTAGGGCCAGGCCTCAGAGTCTGTAAGTTGGCGTAGTTCTGCTATTGTCAAGAGAGGTCTGAGGAGCCAAACGCTTCCAGCAATAGTTGGTTTTGTAACTGTTCACACAGATGATTATCTAACACTAAGAAAGGAGGCAACGTGAATGATGGAAAACATAAGAAATTGAATTCACGAAAGAGAAACCCAGTGTAATTGTCTTGATTTCTTGAAAGAACCTATTGAAGTGAACTAGATGATAATGATTTCTAAATTCCAAAATCTATAGGGAAAAATCAGCAGGAATAGACATAGCAGATATCACACAACAGCCCCTTCTGTAGTTCAAAGTAAGGCAAAACAGAAAAAAGAGAGAGCGAGCTGCTACTGCTGTCTTAGTACAGAAAAACACTCTGGTCACCATTATTTCCAATATTCCCCTAATATAGCTTGTGCTATGGGAGCAATGAAGACATAGTTGAGAGCTAGAGTATAGATGGATGATGAAATTGTAAGGGCTATTTTAAAATACAGGGTCTAATCTCCCTTCAGTGCATCTACAGAGCTCCCAAAAATCCTGAATCAAGACTGGCTTTCCCTAATACATCTGCATTGCGCTATAATCAGGGGTGAAAGTAATTTAACGGACTTACTGGTAAGCAGGGCAGCCAGGGTCCTTGGGCAAGGTGGGGGAGGGGGACTCTGGGCCCCTCGAAGGGCTGGGGCTGAGGTCAGGGCCAGACTTCCCCAGTCAGCCTTTCACCGCTGCCCAGCCCACACTGACCATGGCTCCAGCAGCAATTTAAAGGGCCCGCCCTCCCAGTTGCTGCTATCACGCCAGTGGCGGCCAGCAGCCCTTTAAATTGCCGCTGGACTCCCCAGAGCTCCCATGCCAGCGGCTGGAGCCCTGGGCCCTTTTAAAATCGTCAGGCCCAGGGCAGCTGCCTCTTCCCATACAGTCGGCTGTGTACCGGCGGCCACCTTCTTACTGGTATGCCGCATCAGCTTACTTTCACCTCTGGGTATAATGCACATGAAACTAAGCTGGTAGCTAAGGTGCCTATATATGTAACCATCCGATTATGTTCATTGGCTATGTAGTGAAAGTCATTACATAAAATATAAAGAAAATTCTGAAAAGCTAATGTAATTTGTTTTGCAACTTTGTTTAACAAGAAAATAAACCCTTCTCTCCTTCAGCCTGTGTTTGTTTGTAATTTACATTGCAGAACTGGAACTAAAATAAATTATATTTTTAATTTAAAAATAACATCAGGGCAAAACTTACTCACCTTTACTCTTTCAAGTAGCATCACTGAATTGAGGTGATAGCTTGTGTGAACAAAGGGAGCAGGATTTAGTCTATTATAGAAACTTGTCAGATCAGAAATGTAACCTACTGAAAGGAACTATGCAAACCATGAAGAAAAAAAAAAAGTTGTTTCATACATTGCAACATTTCAGCCCAAAGAGACAGCTTAGTGTATATAAAAAGTTATTAACATTGACTCAGAAGGAACTCTAGGCATCACTAAAACTACTCATTCCCCCATCTGTCCTAAACTACAAAACACATAGCTTTTTAGAATTGGGTCAGTGCTATGTGGAAAATAGATTTCCTATTCAGTTCAGAATTTAATGGGACTGTTGTCCCTCAAAGGTCATAGGAACTAGGGTAGCCAATAAGAAAACTGACATTAAACCCAGTATTGAACATCCTTAAACTTGAGTGATGATTCATTTAACCCAACAGGACTTGGTGTGAGAATAAGGATTTTCAGGATCAACTCCCATAATGCAGAAGAAAAACGTATGTTAAAATAACTAGAGTGGGTGATATGTGGTAAATCTAGAGAACATCATCCCTACTGTTCACTACTCTAAGGAAAAGGTCCCCTGGACCTTACATTTCAAACAATAGCTGTGCAACTGCCCTCTGAAACTCAGGCTTCTTGAAGGTGTCAAAGACACCCAAAAACTGAGCCCCTGCCAAAATATCACTAGTCATTTTTCAGAAAGTAGGCCTTAGGCCTACACAGAGTTTTTGCACGGATCTAACTAAACTGGTAGGTTTAGTAAAGGTATTCATATTTGTAGCTACACCAATAAACACATCTTTATACCAGTGTAACTGCCTGTACACTAGGGAGGTGTGCTGATTTAACTAAATTTGTTTTTCTATCAATTTAGGCAATCAATGCAAAAACTATGTAGAGATGCTCTTAAGTCACAACAATACCCAGTAGTTGTGGAAAATGCCTTAAAAACAAATTTCCTAATATGAACAAAACAAAAGCAGTGTCTCTCAAGCTGATTTAAGCTTTTGGGGCCTCACATGAGTAGCCTCATTTAAGTCAAGGGGTATTGGAGGGGCTGAATAACGTTAGGATCAGATTTTTTCCCCTCTAATGTTCTTGAATTGTCTACAGGGATGAAGTATAAACACAAAGCCAGCTTATCTTGGAGCCAAAAAGGAAAACACAGAGATGAATGAAAATATTTAATTACACACAATAAAACAAACTGTACCCAAGAATTTTTGAAATAAAAAATTACTAAAATGTTAATTGAGAACTTTAAAGAAACTGATTGAACAGATATTTCAAGCTTTATTTTGATCTCTCTGTTTCCTCAGTCATGCTCTGTTTGGTTATTACACCTACAAAGCACATGAAAAAATGCTGCTTGGTCCCTTTCATTTATTTTAAAGCTATTACAAAAATGCTGAAGACTCGCACGTAGCAGGTCCTCTCTCATTAGATTTATAGGAAGCACCTGTCCAAGCTCCAGCTGCATAAATATAGTTTAAAAATATCTGCAGAAATATATACACAGACCTGCCCTGTATTGAGCATTACGACTAGAGTTGCATAATCACCTACACCAGTGGCTTTCAACTTTTTTTCATTTGTGGGACCCCTCAAAAATTTCAAATAGAGGTGCAGACCCCTTTGGAAATCTTAGGGCTTGTCTTCACTACCAGGGTAAGTTGACCTAAGTTACACTACTCCAGTTACGTGAATAACAAAGCTGGAGTCGACGTAGCTTTGGTCGACTTGCCCCAGTGTCTTCACTGAGCTGCGTTGATGGGAGACATTCTCCGGTTGACTTCCCTTACTCTTCTCAGAGAGGTGGCATGCCGGGGTTGACTGGAGAGTGCTCGGTCATTGATTTAGCGGGTCTTTACTAGACCCACTAAATCGACCCCTGTTGCATTGATTGCAGCAATGTTGATCTCCCCGTAGTGAAGACCAGCCCTTAGACATAGTCTGCAGGTCCGCCTAACACAGGTTGAAAACCACTCACCTATGCCCTTCAGATTATTGCTCTGAATCAGATTTATTTATTTTTGCATCTGTCAGTTAGACTGCCAGACAGCAATTAGACTTATACGAGTTTTAAAAAGTTTAGTGATGCCTTTGTCAGTGGATAAGACTGTTTAAATAGCTTAAAAAAGTGAATGAATCTGATTAGAGAACTTGTTGCTATAAAAACAAGATAACCACAAAACCCCACACAACACAGAAATATCATTTATGGACATTATGGGCTAGATCCTCACATGTGCTTGAGTTATGCTTGACAACCTATGGAGCTAAGGGGGTAGGGCATAGCCCCTGATTCAGGGTGCAGATGGGAATGACTCTGGATGCCCAGAGCACAGCATATTTTGGCCATATCTCCTTCCCCCTTTGATGCCAAGAGCCAGAAGTAGGTGGTACAGAGGTTTATGTCACCCAGGATTCTCCGATACAAGGGGACTCTCAGCTGTATTAGGTTGGCCCAAAGTCACCAGAAAGGAGGTGTATGTAAGAGGATCTGACCCAATATATTTTATGTAATTCAAAATAAACACATGCAACCCAAAAAAGTATATTCCTTACAGTACCAATCCCATGCTACCATTCATAAAGCATCCAGTACATTACGGTAAAAAAAAAAATACCGAGAGAACAGTGCAAAATGGTTTTGCTTCTTTGTTCAATAATTCATGTCACACCCTAGCTGCACTATTTAAGAACTCCAGGGAACATTCTAATATTTTTAAATAGACCTAACAATGACATAGTCATTACCATTTTTAAGACAAAATTTGCTTTCTAAGCAAATGGAGTGAACATATAAATGTGAAAAAAAATATATCAGTGCATAAGCTAAGTTTAGCAATAAAAATGTATATATAAAAAATGTTGAGATAGCGCTATCAGGTAAGAAGAAAATATTAAGAGGACTAAATGGGTCCTGCTGATGTAAGGCAGTGGCCAATTCCTGGATTGTCTGGTTTGTTATTTAGCAAATTTATATTAATTTTGTAAGGAGCAACAACTGTTTTCGTTTCCAACTACTTCTTTCCCTTAAATTATATAAATGTAGCCCCATGAAGATACTTGTTTCCATCGGTGAGCTTCTGCTGAGTGCAGGAGGTCTTTAGCACTTAGCAGCCCCCTTCACTACCCCTTTCCAACACTGTAAAAAAATTATATGGGGTTATTTTGATGTACAAATTCCCAAACCCTATTCCCTAATGTCACCTTTAATGTGGCATCAACCTTTGATCAGCCACCCTAATTACAGTCTGAAACGTGCATAATAAGTTGCACTGACAAACATTCTGAGAGGAAAAGTTAGGCTCCCACAGCAGTAACTATGAATATGAATATTCAATTACATATAAATTGTCTGTTGTCTGTCTCTGGCCATTAGAGAAATTTTGGATACTAGTTTTCAGACTGACAGCAAAACAGAGACTCAGTGGTTGAAGCTCTGCAATAGCGTCTCTAAAGTGAGTCCAAAGGTGCTCAAAAGCTCTTCTTCACCTTGGGTCCCATCTGTATAGTACTGGCTATTGGAAGCACTATTTTGATTATTCTGAATAAGATTGTTGGGTGACCTTGATTCGTTCATAACTTGAGGGTCTAGGAAACTGTAAGTAGTTGAATGAAATGCGTTGGACTGTGAATTAAAGGATGAGCTACAAGAAGCTGCTAGAGATGTACTGGTAGAAGGCACCTGATGGATTTGCCTCCTGTGATCACTTGGATTTAAAACTTGATTAAACGATGTCTTTTCTACGTTCATGCTCATGCATCCCATTTCATCAGTCTCCATGTTAACAATGCTGGGTGCTGTGACGTTTATGGTGTGAGCCTGATGCATGATGCTGCTATCAGAGACATTCTGCATGTCTTGCTGTGACATTGCTGATGCTCCTATACCATTTGTGCTGGTGAAATCTCTATAGTAGTTTATATCCTTCTGATCAGTCCAGTTCAGAACATTTTCATGAAGAGCTGAGAGAGAACTGCTACTCTGTGGGTTAGAGTGAAGTGCATCCATCACAAAACTGTTCTGTGGGTGTGTATTAACTGTGTTGCCTGATGAAGAAGAGGAGCATGGGGAATGCCAACATGAAGAAAGAGCTTCATCATGCTTAACCGGTCCCATGGCCTGCACATTTGTAGGCTGATGTGGGATTGGATTTGAATTGCATGTGGGTGGGGAATAGTAAGACGGAATTTGAATGGTGCTTACAGGAGTTCTCTGCAGCGGCACAATCGCAGTTTGAGAAAACATATTTGGTTCTGTGAAAAGGAAACACAGTTGTTAATTAATGCATGGAAATTATAAGAATGAAAAACATGGCAGGCAGTTCAAATAGTCAAGCCTGCCAAAGTCGTATATCAAAAGCACTAAGCACAGGCTTAACTTTAAGCACATGTGCAATCCTATTGACATCAGTGAGATGATTCATGGGCTTGCAGTTAAGCACCTACTTAAGTGCTTTGCTGGACCAGGCCACAGTGCTTAGCACCTTGCAGGACAAACCCTAAATGTCCAACCTGCAGTTAGACTGGCTGTACACGTCACCCTTCTCTTTACTTGAAATGTGGAAGCTAGAGAAGCTTACAATAAAAATATGGATGGCTTTGAGGCTGTATAGTAAGTACTCTCAATATCTTAGGGCATGTCTGTTCTGCATCTGGGAGCAAGCCTCCAGTCCCAATCCACAGACTTGTACTAGCGAATATTTAAGCAAACGATGCGGAAAGCCCAGAAATTTAAAGTTAAACTTCACTGAAAAGAACCAAACGTCTGAAAGCTCAGAGATATGCAGAGATAACAGATACGATTTTCAAAAGGGCCTAAATAAGTTGGGAACCTAAGTCCCAATGACTTTGAGACTTAGGCTCCCAAGGCC